GGGGGGGGGGGGGGGGGGGGGGGGGTTCCCACAAGTGTGAGAAAGCAGGGTCATGATAGGAGTCAGCTGCTAGGCTTCTAAAACGATAACCTACCTGACTCACTTCACCCTCCTGTTCTAACAGCACAAACAGTACACAGAAAAGTGATCTTAATATTATCATCTACAGACACCTGTGATCGTGTGTGTGTGTGTGTGGGGGGGTTAACTGGGACTAAATCCTTACTTTTGGAAATACTTGCTTTTAAAAAAATCTCCTTCTGTCTTAGTCCTTTCCAAATAATTGGAAATCTTTACGTTTTTAAGTGCTGAAGTAGCGCAGTGACCTCCAGTGTGTGGAGTTTGTGTGCTGTAGGTGAGCTGGTGCCCCTGGACTGCCCTCAGTGGATGTTGCAGTGGGTGAATGTGCCTCCTGCAGCTGTCAAGGCATGGAAACTGGAGGAATGTTTAATTATATTAAGTAGAGGCAAGGAGAGCCAGGTTAATCCTTAGGCCTAGACATAGGTGCAGTTTCATTTCAGGCACGGAAACATAGCCTACTTGAAGTGAAATTAAATGACCCACCCGAGAACTATGTGTTACATCAGTTTGGGAAATATGTGTGTCACAACAAACTGTGAGTTTCTGTTACTGTCCTATGATTGTTTTTTCCGTTTCGTTAAAAAAAAAAAAAAAAAAGTTCTGAAAACACGTGATACCGCGCTGCCTTCCCGTTTCCCGGAACAGATTTTGGGCGGTCCACTTGGCGAAGCTCCAGGTTCTCCATGCATGATTCCTGCGGAGAGGGACAGGAGTCCAACTATCTAAAATAAAAGCGAGGGATTAAAGATAGATTAAAGCGAGTTTCTAATTGCGGGCGAGCAACGCCTGAGGCGGTGTGTGCGTGTGTGTGTGTGTGTGTGTGGTGGGGGGGAATCCGTTAACTACGGATTTCCTAATTAGTAGCGCAAGCCCACGTTTTACTTTCAACCCGGATCCGCGCGGCGTGGCATCAACACAAACTCGGAACTTGATACTTCAAGGTGATACTTTTATGTATATTACAAATGATTATACGTACAGTCTATTACCGGTGTAATTTCATTCATTAATTCATTTAATATATAACCAATAAAGCAGCACGAGAATCAACGTGACACGAATTTGCATCGTAATATAAATATTATTATAAAGATTTAAAAACTAGTAAAATACAGGTTTTCATGACCAGTCAAGCCAGTAAGCAATTTCCCCGGCTAATGATACGCTCGGCTACCACTAAGACAATAACGGAGTTACTCTCAGCATTTAACAAGCAACTTTAACCTATTTTTACCAGCTTAACTTACTGCACTTTCAGATGACCGGGGGGACGTCGGTGTACCGGCACTGAGCACGTGGCTGTCCTCTCTGGTCAAGGACAAGGGGCTGGGGGTGACAGCGTGGAAAGAGACATTATAAAACGTATGACTAAAGAGCGACTCTCCGAAATACCACGTCGTGGGTGCCCAATATGCCACATAAAATTTCAGGGGACATCGGAAGGTCCTGCCCACAATGCGCCTGCGACCAGTAGCGACGCCGCAATATCCGACACATGCCGTCGCCCATCCAATCGGAGCGGCCGATTGACGTGCCCTGGGTAAAACGCAGCGCGGCTTGGCAACTGCAGGAATTTATCTGAGGGTCGTAGGGACGGGGCAATAAATGGGATACGAGCGTTAGTGTATCAAAGGGAAAGGAAAGCAGTACCTGTGTGCCAAGAGCTGTTTTACCCTTTCTAACTGTGTGTCGGCGCGTAATGTGTCATAATGTAGGCTGTTATACTTAAAACACACACAGAAGCATTTCAACATAAGTAGAAATATCCACCTTCATATGTATCCCTTAACGTCGAACCTATCTCTGAGACGAGATTACTACACTTTTAAAATAATTCATGGACTATTTCTGCATGCTCCCTTTAAGGATCAACACTGAAACGCCGTCCTTCTCAAAAAAAAAATAAAAAAATCATTTAACTGCACTAATAGCGTTTATGCTGCGCCACACATGACTGTCCTGTGACTTTCTCCCATCTCAGTATTACCAGACAAAAATTACGCAGTCATGTACCTGCAAACCTGGCTTATCGTGGTCTTCGGAATACTGGGCGTATCTGTCCCTGTTCCTGCAGGACCCCTGCACGCACAGTGCAGCGTGGATTGGTACGTTACAGCTCTACACTGTACTTACATGTGCTGTCTTTATCAGTGTTTTATAAGCATTTAGACACGCAATGATATTTGTTGAAGAGCTGAACTAGTTAATTCTTATAGTTTAAAGATCGCCACCTATAAATTTGCTAAACCTTTTGTAACTTTTGGTGATTTTCTTTGGCAGGATTCATATTTGCTAGAAACGGGCTGTTTACACCGCAAACGCAACATGGTGATATTTATGAAATCACTGGTTATTAGTAGAAAACTTTTAAGTACTAACACAATAAAATTCCTGATTTTAAACCGACTTTTCCATTGCTTAACCACCTGGCGTCTAAGCACTCTGCAATTTCGGAAATTTGATCAGTCTTATGTTATTGCCAGTTTTGTATAAAAATGTCCAGGGGCTTTAAGGATGTAAACCTATAATGATTCTTGGTTTTAGTCGTGCCTGGGCATGCCATCGTTGGCGGTGGATTTTAGCTGCTGCTTAGAGCGAAAAATGGCAGCCTTGGTCCTGGAGAGACCAGCTTGTTCCTCTCGTTTCTCCAAATTCCCTCTTCCTGTAGGATTAAAGGCATGCAGCAGACTATTAATTTGGCAATACGGTGTAGTATAAGGAGTAAGAATAGAAAACAGCCATTTATATTAAGCAATGGGAAGGTGTAACAATCAAAACATATGTCACATTTCCTGAACCAGGAATTTGTGGATTGTGTGTAGGAGCACATGAGAGATTTTTGAAGTCGTGGGGAACATACAGTGAGCAAAAGGTCTCACCTTTTAGTCTTATACAGCCATGCTTAATGAGGCATTTGCTGTGAGGCGGGCTAATGGTGTAATACACTCAACATTTTGACGGAGACTGGACGACATACACTGTTACTTTGTTGTCTGATATGAAATTGCCAGTCACTCACAAATGGCAAAAACAACAGATAGACTTCTCTATAATGTGTTGCAAGGTTACTTTTTTAATTTAATGAGCCCTTACACTGAAATATTACAAATGATGTGAGGATGCATTCATAGATTTATAGCTTTATTGTAACAGACGTAATTTAACGTGAAGCCAAATTTGGATGATGTCGTTTTCTTGGTTGCAGTAAAATAAATTAGCCTATCAGAGATACAGTAGGTAAAGCCCTTATTAAATTTACATCTACTTACATTGCTTGGAATTTGAAAGAAGGCTGTGATAGAGCTTTGTTTTTTTTCCGGGTTGCCTGTTTTCTTTATTGCGTGAGGTACAACTAGGCAGCACAGTTCTCATTGTTCAACACCCAAAACCCGAAGCGGCGGAATACAAACAGACAAGTCACAAATGCGGCAAGTATGGATGTTTCTGAATAAAATGTTTTAGAAAGTGGTATCAGAGTTTGTGTTATCTATCCTTCGTTAAATCGGTAGATCATCGTGGAAGTTAATTTTTTAAATTGATTTTCAAAGTATTTTCCCCACAAGCGGCCAAAGAAACCAAATATACATCTTAGCAGATCTGAACAATTACTGTAGTACACAAGTAATCTAAGCATTGAAGCATTTTACATTAATCCCCCTTTCCCAGCCACACATATCCCACCCACAGGAAGGAAATAATAATAGTCTTACTAAAATAAATATTTTCCTAAATAAACAAATAATTTACAGTAATTTAATAGAGAGAGAAAAATAAAAATAGGAAAGGAAAGGGGGGGAAGGAACAAAAAAAAATCCTCTCATTGCCACCATTGAGTATTTGTGATGCTTATTTTAACAGAATTAAGCGTCTCGCAAGAAGAGTGGTGAATGCAATGACTAAAAATGAACTATTTGGTAAGTGAGCACGAAATACTTCTGGCACTAAACCAAACAGACCGCAAACTGGGTCAGGATCAAACTGGGTTCCAAACATACATCCCAAAGCTTTAAAAGTACCTAACCGAAAGGTGGAAAGATTAGGGCACAGCCAGAACATATGTACTAAATTTGCTGGCTGGCCACGACATCGAGGGCATGATGGGTCAACGTTCGGATAAATCCTTGCTAGTTTAGCTTTTGTCAGGTGAGCCCTGTGTTTATCTTTCGGCTGTATTAAGCTATGTTTGGCAGATGAAGACGAAGTGTGCAGACGAA